TGGCGTTGTGGATCTGTCAGCAACTGCTGCAGAGATTTTACTCTTAATTATATCTCTAGTTTTTATCTTCCAGAGAATCCTCACTCTTTTAGTCTATTGACAGCAATATTTCTGTCATTGTAAAGCACATTGGGTTGGCTTTATTTTTATTTTTCTTCTGCCATCTCAGTGAGATTGAGAAGAGAGTAAGGTATAAATGCATGTTTTTACCAGCAATCTTACCTTGGAAGTGAGGCTACAACCACTTTAAAGGAATAAGTAATAAAACTTGGTGACGGATTAGATAATTGAAAAGGAGAAGTAAACTTGAGTTTAAGATATGTGACTGGGTGAGTGGGAGAATGGGAATACTGTGAACTGAAAATAAGGAAAGAGATGAGACTGAAGACCAAAACTGATGACTGCTCAATGATGCTCTTACTTTTTAAAACAGACTTCAATATGAATTCAGACACCTGACATACAATAGCTGTTGAATAAAGGTGTGAAGAGATGAGTAATATAGAATCATTTTCAGTATGGCACTATCTCCAAACCAAAATATAACTGAAGTTGTAATGCTTTTACTGAGTTGTTCTCTGTTTCAAAGACCAGCTACTCGTATTTTGTTCTAATGTTCTTAATTTCTAAATCCATCTTCCTAAACCTCACAATACCTCAAAAAATCAACACATACATGAGATAATACCAAAACCTGTCATCCTTAGAGTGATTAGTTACTTTATGCTTAGGATGTAAGGAAGAATTATGGGAATTTTTCAGTAACACTCATACAATTCCTACTTTTTTTTTTTGACCGGTAAGGGAAAGCCACCCTCAGCATGGTGTGGTCTGCATCATGCTCAGCCAGTGAGTTCACCAGCCATCCCTATATAGGATCCGAACCTGCGGCCTCAGTGCTGCCAGCACTGCACTCCCCCGAGTGACCCACGGGGCCGACCCTACAATTCCTACTTTTAAGAAGCTCAGTCTCTTGGGACCCTGTGGATAACGGGTTGTTAAATATTTGACCTGAAAACCAAATGCCAAGTCTCAGAACTGACTTATAGTTATTGGAAAGGGCCTTGAACAGGTGTTTTAGAACTAATTCTTCTCCCAGAAATAAGGAAGAACAAGGTTGGAAATTCAATGACACACACATCACAACTCTGAATCTCACTCTTTAATGCCACAATGGACCTAGTATTTTCTTCTTTCAGCTTCCTCATCTCATACCACTTCCCTCAAAATGCACAAAATGCCACCCAAGCCCCAGATAGACAAACGTATGGAAGGAGACTCTGGATTATGTTGATGGAAAGATCTTAAAAATGATGAACCCAAGGCTGGGTTTATTAACTACAAAATCATGATCATTTATGATATTAAAACTACCTTTATGGGTAAGAAATGGATTATTATAATATTTATGAAACACAGGAGGCTTAAAAGTATCAATCAACACATGTTTTTAATAAACAGATGAACCTGATCAAACCCCAAATATATGGTTATATTGTGAAATTACATAAAAAAATACAAAATATTGTCCTTTGAAAAACTTCACAATAAAATCGAATTTCTAAAGGTCAACAAAAATAGCTATATTACAAGAGAAAGGAGGAAAAAATTCCAGAAAATAATTGGAACCACTTTTCTCAAGAATTTCTGGTCTCTAAAACACCAAATTTTAGTGTACCAATGGTATAGTATTGTTTAAGATATTCTTTCATAATTAATTTTTGAATTAAAAATCTAGGTCTTTAAAATTCCTCCTTTCAAGTCAGCTCACAGATACATTAGAAAACTTTATTGGTGGTGTCGTTATATTGTTAACTTATACTGTTAGATGTGTTACAAAGAATTATAAGATGATGTGTTGTTATAGAAGCAGGAAAATACTGTACTACCTTTATGTGACAAGTGCTCCATAAGTGGGTATGAGGGAGATGGTGCATGTTTGCTAGTTTGGTATTCTCAGATATGGAGGGAAAATTAGGTCTGTGATCCCTTCTGCTATTTTACAGCAGCTCCACATGTCTGCAGATATCCTGAGTGTCTATGATTTATTTCTTTTATCCTTGTATTCCGCTAGCAGAAAACTAGTGCATTAGTAACTTTTATAAGTTGTTTCATATCACTTGAAATACAGATAATAGCCTTGTGATGTTGTTTGCATTTTTTGATAAACCTTGCCTCTTCTTAATTCCTTCATGGCCAAAAACTTGATGCACGATGATTTCCTGTTTTAAAAATAGTCTGGGCATGAAACTGAATGAACACTAACATAATTTTTACTCAGACTAAAACACTGCTAACCTGTGTTAGATAGAACAAGAGATCTGAATATTTTCATTCATTTTACTACTTTTAAAAAATTATGTATTTCTAATCTTGATTCCATAGTTCATTTGTCATCTGATGGGCTGCTCCAAAGAGAAGGATATGCCTAAAGGTGCGTTTGCCCCTAGCAGGTTCAGGTTATCTCAGTGGAAAATTTACTTGACAAATGCCCTGGTTGTGCAGTTGACCTAAGATGCCCCCTGCTTTTGGGCTGTCAGATAGGTGGTTTGATGTATAAGCGTGGCTGGCATACTTTGTATAGGTAATTTTAGGTGCCTTACACACATCAGTTGCCATTTTGGGTATCTATATATAACCCAATGAATTTATATGTAAAAAACACATTGAATTTGGGTAGTTAAAAATTTTGGAATATTTGACTAGCAATGTGAAATTTATGTAATCTGAGGTGTGCTCAAGTTTTTACATCTATGCACCCTCTAATTATAGGACAGTAAACTATAAAGAAGACTGGAAGCATACTTGCAGTATGACTTTGGGTATATTAACCTCTTAGTGCTTCAGTTTCCTCATATGAAAACTGGGCATGTTGTAAGGATTAAATGTTAATACATAAAGTGCTTAGGCCAATATGAACAATTAGTAAAGCTAATTATTATTGTTAAGGTACTACCACCTCACTCCTAATTTTTTGGACTTTCTATTTACCTTAATTGGGCACTATATCTGCTGGAGAGTTACAAGAAGATAAGAAATGACATAAAGATTTCTTCTTACGTTATCCACTAGAAAATCACGTATCTAAAACACAAAAATGTTCCCTGTAGAGGCCTCTTCCTTGTAGTTAAATAGTAAAGTAGCATCTCTTTACCCAATTTCTTTCCTCTTTTTAGAGTGAATCATCACAAGAATTATTTAATGGAAATCAGAAGAAGAAAAATAGACTATAGGTATTATAATAATGACTAACCGGTAAGTTTGTCTAATGATTCACACTTCCATTTGGTACATGTCATTATAACCAGGGTTGTACTTATGAACATTGTGTATATGGCAATAACTATAATACATAGAAAGAAAGGCATGTAAAAGTGGGCACTCTGACACATGTAAACAAAAAAAGTATGAGAAATATCTGTTGATTGTTTTAATGCAGATGAGTTAGAAACTAGGAATGAGGGCTGCTAAAAGAGCCTGAAGCAAGATGTCAGAATTGGTGGTTGATCAACCAGAATAATACGATGATTGTTTGGACTGATATTCTGAGAATATTCATTTGTGAAGTAAACATAGGCTAATTGATTTGAATGAACTGGTCTGCATTCATAGCAGAAAGGTTGAATTTCTTAGTGAGGGTATATTTGGAGCTGTTTTAAAGTTACATATTAATTTTGTTATGTTTTTATATTAATGATGCTCCTGTTTTAGGTAATTTTTAAAGGCTCTTTATTTAGGGCTTATCAAGTAGTAGTGCTTCTGCTAAGATCATGGCATACTTCATCTTCTGTAGTGCCTACAACAACCCTACACTATAGATATTTGTCATTTCATTTTTAGTTGAAGAAATTGAGGTGTGGGGAAATTAAGTGGCTTGTCTAAGGTGATACAGCTAGTAAACTGACAAGTTTAGAATCAGACAAGGACTTTGAGTCCAAAGTGTGTTTATTAACCATTGTGTTATATTGCTTTCTTTTCACTTCCTTTTTATCATAAAGCTAAGCTAAACATGGGGATATTCTGTTTTTATTTTCTATCTGCTACAACTATTAGCAAATAGAAAAGGCACACTAGGACTTGCAAGGGACTGAATTTATTAGAAACTTGGAAGTAATGAGATGTTATGGACAGACCATAAGCTTTAGGGAGAGCTACGTCTGAAGATGTCCTATAGGAATCTGCTTGGGGAAATGGGAGATGAATTATGCCACCACTGCTCTTGTCAGGATTTGGTTTGGTTGATAGAGTTACTTGAATTAATTAAGAGTGGCATCTGTAATAATGAAAGCTTATGTCCAAGGCACAGTCAAGACTCTTCATTCAGTCTTAAGTCAGGTAAAGTTTAACTTAGGACAAAGCAAATATTTAAGCAAAAGTTTTACAGTCTTCACTCTACACTGAGGAGCTGTAAGATGATTTTTACTTTTGGTCACGTCCTCTCCCTTAGATAGGTCTTTCCTCTTCCTTAGTTTTGGAGCAGAAACAATATGACCTTAGTCATGTATTTTAAAGGTGGGATATGTGTTTATTCATTTAGCTTATTAATTCATTTGAAATGTTTATTGACTATCCCTCATGTGTCAGGCATTTCTTAGGTGTTCTCAGAATGTGTCCTTGTTGGGTGGCTGGTTGGCTCACTTGGGAGAGCATGGTGCTGACAACACCAAGTCAAGGGTTAAGATCCTCTCACCAATCATTAAAAAAAGAATGTGTCCTTGTTGGGTGGCTGGTTGGCTCACTTGGGAGAGCATGGTGCTGACAACACCAAGTCAAGGGTTAAGATCCTCTCACCAATCATTAAAAAAAGAATGTGTCCTTGTTACATTTTTTTTCCTTGCACTTGTTTTCTAGCTATCCTTCTGAAAGGGCTGACTATTCTAATCTAAAACTAAGATAGTGGTGAGATATTGTTTTCAATTTGGAGGGTGATCACTGGTTTCCTAGCACTTCAAGGACCATAGCATTTAAAGAACAACACACAGAAAAATATTTCAACTTACCAAAGATACTATCTTTTTGTTTAAGTCCATATATTCTTTTGAATATGGTTTTTCAAACTTGCTGTCATAGTCAATGTTGTTGACCTTAAAGCTGATGTGATAATAGAAAGGTGTCTTCCCTGAGGAGAGAAAAGAAAAAATAGTTCTCACTTTGCTCACTGTGTAACCACTTCGATTACAAGAAAATCATGTAAAATAGAATACGCTGATGAAATTTAGGTTACTTGACATTTATTTATTTATTTATTTATTTTGGTGACCGTGCCCAGCCAGTGAGCACACTGGCCATCCCTATATAGGATCCGAACCTGCAGCCTCGGTGCTCCCAGCGCCGCACTCTCCCAAGTGAGCCACGGGGTCGGACCAGGTTACTTGACATTTAAATAGTCTTGATGATGGAGTCAGGGGAAACCGAACCCAGACGCAACCAGTTTAAGAGCACACCGAAAACACCATTTCCATGTGGGTAGCCCACCATAGCCACCGCAATTGCCATGGAGATAAAAAAAAAAAAAAAAGGTCCTCTTTCTCCACAAAACACACTCCAGAGTAATAGAAGAAGCATCTGCTTTACAATAATAGGCAAGGTCTTGATCACACCTGTCTCAGTACTGTACAGATCATCCAGGCAACAAATCAATAGGAGAACAGTAAATCTATCAGATGGAGAGAAAAAATAAGGTTTGGGGGGGTGAAGGTTAAAGATTGGATAAGGGGCATAAAGAATAAGTATGATTTGTAATAATGAATATGCTAATGAAAATATTATAAATCATTATATTTGAGACCTCCTAGTATCTGCCATACTGGGTCAAAGATTATTGGTATTTTAATGATAAATACATTTTAAGAAAGTTAATTAAACGAGCACTTTAAGCATAGCATAGTGACGCATACCCAAATTCTGTTTATGAGAGATCAGATGGCATTCCAAGAGCATCTCATTGCTATTTTTGTGTCATATTTAGAAATGAGGAGCCAGTATGTATGTGGTGGTTAATAGAGTGTTCAAAAATCCTCTTAAGGGCATGGGTTGGAGAAACTTGGCACTGCCAGGTTTTAGGGGACTCTTGCATCTCCTGACCTCAAGTCTTGGTGGAATTCTGAAGCCATATAGGCTGCTCCAGAATAGATCTGGCTTTTAGTGGATAAATAGGCCCATCATTTCTTACATTGTCCTTGTTATTTTGCTAAGTAGGTTGCAAATGTCTCCCTCTGTAAGGCCTAATTGGTTAGTATTTTTTCTAGGATATAAAACTGGAATAACATGAAAATTTTCATAAGCAAAATACAAATCTAAAACCCTAGAAATATTCTGTGGTATGTGACAATCAAGCACCCAATCCATTAATTGGAGACATATTATATACCAGATATTTGTCGATAAAGCCTAATCTGCTAAGCCTATCTAAAAGGCTTTACTTCCTGATAAAAGCGATAGATGTGGCTGGAACCCTCTCCTTCTCTCTTTTTCTTGCATGGATATGATGCCTGTGTTGTGGTAGCCATTTTAAAAACCATGGGGCTTCCAGCAGAAGAGGAAAAAGTGAGCAAATGAAGGCAGGCAGAATGGAAAGCTCTAGAGAGCCTAAATTCTTAACATCATTGTGAGGAATGGAAACAATACCAGCAATTGCCTATCTACTTGCTTCTTGCTCTGTGAGAAAAAATAACCCCCTATTTACTTAAGCCACTGTTAGTCGTTGTTTCTGTTACCTGCAGTCAAAACAGCCTACCTGATAACTTCTGTTTTGTGCCAGCAGTGCAGTCCCATTGCCCCCCAAACCACACACTTTCCTATCTTGATATCTTTTCTCCACCTGGCTTTGCATATGTTTGATAAATGTTATAAAATGAATGATGTGAACTGGCTAATGAAATTTTAAGTTTAAATAAATGGTCCATAACTAGATTAATCAGGCAAAATTATAAATAAATAAATACATGCACACATAGTCTTGATGCCCAGTGATTGCTGAAATAGCTTTGATGGAAAAATGTTGATTAAATTATTATCTTACCCAAGAATGTACTTAGGATTTTTAACATAAGATTTCAGTGTGCCATCTCTCAAGTTTGGGCAATCTGGAGATGGATATGTTATTATGAGAAGAGATTTCATTAAAGTATAGATAATTATCTTGGTCTTTGTGATCATCACAGATTACATTTAAGAAAATTAGTTAAGTCATATGAAATTACCTAGGAAATTAAAATGAATAAAGGCAAAAATAAAATGAGGCTTGATTTGTAAATATTGAACATTAAGTAAATAGAACAATGGAATAAAACCTGCAGTTTTAGATGAGGACAAGCTTGGACTGTAGAATTTGAGTACACCTAAGATAGTAGAAAATGAAATTCTTTCTTGTAAGTTTTTCAGGTCCTATTGTATCCTTCCACTCTGTAGAGTAGGAGGCATAAGGAGAAAGAGAGGGAGGCAGGGAGAGATAAAAGAGAAGAGGGAAGGGAAGAGGTGAGAAAGAGAAGGAAGAAAAAAGAGGGAGAGAGAAGGGGAGTAGAAACACTTTGTAACATTCTTAGAAAATTCATGTCCCTGGCTGCAGTTAATTATTGGAAAATTCTTCCATGTCCACTCACAAATAATCAAAGAAATGCAAAGTAAAATGAGATAGCATTTTTTTTGGATTAAATTGGCAAAGATGACACACACACACACACACACACACAATACCCAGACACTCTTATAGTCTGCCAGTGAGACTGCTAATTAGAACACATTTTTTTTTTTTTGACTGGTAAGGGGATTGCAACCCTTGGCATGGTGTGGCCTGCACCACGCTCAGCCAGTGAGCACACCAGCCATCCCTATATAGGATCCGAACCCATGGCCTCGGCACTACCAGCGCCGCACTCTCCAGAGTGAGCCATGGGGCTGGCCCAGAACACATTTTTGGAGGACAATTTGGTCACATTATTAAAAGCCTGAAATATATTTTCACCTTTTCATTCAATAATTCTTTTAATAATTTATTCTCAGTATAATAAGTTACTCACAAATCTATGTAATGAAATTGAACTGTTTTAAATAACATCCAAAAATTTAAAACAACCTAGGGGGTTTAAAGTGGGAAGTTAACAAAATAAATAAAATATTATATTTTCACTAAAATTATGTTTTAGAATAATATTTATCATCATGGAAAATGCACATGAAAAGGGGGAAAAAAGATAGGAAGAAAATGTGCCAAAATATTAAGAGTGATTCTGACTAGGGGGTAGAATTATTAATAGTTTCTATTTTCTTGTTTATGTTTTTCTGTATTTTTCATGTATATAAATAAATTTTATCACATTGATTAGAAAAATAATTTTTAAAGGAAATTCTTCTTTATCTGTAATTAGTCCTCTTAACTACTGGTTTTCTATTCTTTTCTCCCTTACTTTAATTTTTCCAATATTTCTTTAATGTATGTTTTTATATTTTATTTCCTTTCATAACTTTTATTTAAAATAATTCTAAAGGACCATAATATTTTTTGCTGTTATATATTTCTTTGCACAAATACTGTACAACTTCTAATTTTTCTCTTAGAAATATCTGGGTTGTGAATCCAGGGTCATTGAGGCAGTATCAGGTTATTTTAACTTGCTGAACTACTAAATGAATTTCAAATACTACAGAGTAAAGCTATTCTGTAGCTCTGTTATCCTATTAGAGAACTGAGCACTGAATTCGAAAGTATTTTTGGTTGGTTGAGAGATACCATTGATATTCACAGGAGCTCCTCTCCTTCAATATCACCTAGACCTTGAGCAGAAAAAAAAAATTATGACATACGTTCTCTTTTAGGTGTTATGTTCATTTTTTTTCATTCCTAAAAGAGTAATATTCTTCAAATAATCCAGGTCAGATTACGGGCCATGGTTAAGAGCTCTAGGAAGATTAGAGCCTTACTAATTCTCGTCTGTGTATATTTTTAAACTATAAAAAGATTAAATTTTATTAATAAAATGTGAAATCTACCATACATTGTGAATAAAACAGTAAAAAAAAGTACCGCCAACTGTTAAATTTGAGTTTTACTCAAGAATGTGCTTTCTGGTTCTTTTGATTAAGCTCTCCACCATGGTAATGTTCTCCTTCAATTTCCAGTCTTTAGTCTACAAAGCTATTGCCCTTCAATGGAGAAAGAAGCCACCATTTTCTCTGTATTCTTTCTACCACTGAATCAGTTCCTAACAGCATATTACTTGCATGCCATAAAAATCCCACTCTCCTAAGGTGTTGGCCTGCTGTATTTCATGGTGAGTCAGTAGATCTTTTCTTTCTTATTACTCTAAGTGCCCTTTCCTGAATACAGTAAGCATGATGACTGACATCATAGTTTTACATTATTCTCTGCCCCATCTCCACGTTCTTTGATTCAGACAATATTAACTTTTAAAAGGCAGAGAACTTATCATCAAGGAACTTAGATAAAAATGACTTTCACCTAATAAACTAGGCTCTCTAATCCTGTTCTTGCCTGGGTACCACCATGAAAGGGGCATAAAGATGCATAATATCAACAAATTTCATAATTCATGTCAAAAGTCACAAATAGTAGCCTTTTCATGAAACCTCAAATAGTTGAATAAAATATTTTATAACCTCAAGGTAATAGGCCATTTCCAAATGTCCTGGTACCTTTGATATATATCATGTCATGAGTTTAAACATTTTTTAACTTTTAATTATTTTGCAGTATGTAATTTTGGAAAAGTAGAGAGTGAATTATGCCTTATATAAATCCTCTGATGTTCTACAATTTTGTTCTGGTAAGAGCCTCGGCATGCACATTACGTCTTTGTGGTCTTATCACAAATGTACATTTTGATGTCTAGTGGACTGTGAAACCTGGATAAAACCACATATTTTATTTTTTAAAATTTTATTTATTTATTTATTTATTTTTTCCATGTGAATATCAGCATTTATTTTATCATTTTCTTCATTTGTTTTATTTTTTTTCTTTAAATTTTTTTATTTTGTCCACCACCCAACAATGTCCTTTCTTAAAACCACATATTTTAGGGCCGGCCCGGTGGCGCACTGGTATAGTGCACCGCTTGGGAAGCGCAGTGGCGCTCCCGCCAAGGGTTCGGATCCCATATACAGACCGGCTGCTCACTGGCTGAGCGAGGGGCAGGAGCAACGCCGAGGGTTGCGATCCCGTGGCCGGTCCCGGTCCCGGTCCGGTACGGGCGCGACACTGAGGGTTGTGATCCGTTGCCGGTCACGAAAAAAAGACAAAAAAAGGAGAAAAAAAAAAATCACATATTTTAATGTTATGTGATTTCTCTTTAGTATAAATTCTCTGATCTCAATTAATGCTTTAACTCATGATGCCACCTTGGACATTGAGATGACCTTGGCAATGTAGGTCATGCATGGTAGAGCAATAAGATAGAAGGAGCCTGGATCCCTTACACCCAGAAGTGACATGATGAAACTGTCAATGATCTCAGAACTTATTTTTGTCTGAATTTTTATGTGCATCTCTCTTCCTGTAGGTCAGTGGTTTTCAACCTTGGCTGTACAACAGAATTTCCTGGAGAGCTTTCAAAATTAGTTTCCACTCCAGAAAGCATTTTAGGGAGTGGGGCTTGTGTACTACTATTTTTTAAAAAACTTTCCAGGTGATTCTAAGTTTCAGTCAGGGTTAAAATTTACTGCCTTAGAACAGAGATCAGCAAACTATAGCTGTGGGCCAAATCTAGCCTGCTACCTGTTTTGGGGTGGCCTATGAGCTAAGAATAATTTTTACATTTCAAAAGGTTAAAGAAGTCAAAAGAATAATAATATTTTGTGACACATGAAAATTATATGAAATTCAAATTACAATGTTCATAAATATTTATTGGAAAACAGCCATACTCATCTATTTACATACTGTCTATCGCTGCTTAAGCACTACAATAGCGGAATTGAGTAGCCATGGTAGATACTGTAATGGCTCATAAAGAGGAAAATGTATACCATCTGATTCTTTACAAAAAAAGTGTGCTGACCCTGACCTAGATGGTGTGCACTTTTAGTGCAAGGACTAGTATAATGATCTAGAATTTCTCCTCCAGGACTGCTGTTCCCCATCACAGCACCTAGCTTAGTAGCTGCATTAAGTACACAGTAGTCACCCAATAGTCACCAAACTGGATACAGTTTCAGATACCTTTATTCTTTCTCCCATTCTACTGTTTATTTACAGAGTACTCATTACTTCTCTGTTAACCAAATAGAAAACAGATCATTATCATTCAGGGTCATGTGAGGGAGAGAAAGGGAGGTGTTCAGGAGTGAAAATGTGTGCCGTGCTCTGGTTTGTCCAGCTGTCCTTGTTTAACTAGTTACTGGCCCAAGTGAAAGAATAATTATTGTGAGGAAATGACTTGTTGCTTCCAGGTTTGGGGTAGTGAACTAGAAATCCTTAAACTGATGTTGACAGCTTCATTCAAAGGAGGAGCATCACAAGGCTGCTGCTATATCATGCTAAAGTGTCTGGATAGAAAGTATGAGATTTGTTTAATCAGATTGAGATTTTGCTTATTTAGTGACAAGTATGTAGGTGCTTAAAAAATATTTCTTTTTATTTTATTTTATTATTTATTATTTCTCAATATACATTGTAGTTGATTTTCTTGTCCCTTTAGCTGTTCCTGTTTCCCCCTCTCTCCGCTCCCACTACATCATATCTGTTCACTCGTCTTAACAAGTTCAAGGAATTGTTGTGATTGTTGTGTTGTCTTCCCCACCACCTTTTATCTGTTTGTATATTTATTTATTTATTTTTAGCTTCCACAAATAAGTGAGAACATGTGATATTTATCTTTCTGTGCCTGTCTTGTTGCACTTAATATAATTGTTTCTAAGTTCATCCATGTTGTTGTGAATGGGAGTATTTCATTCTTTTTTATAGCAGAGTAATATTCCACTGTGTAGGTATACCACAGTTTCCTTATCCACTCATCTGATGATGGACATTTGGGCTGGTTCCAACTCTTGGCTATTGTAAACAGTGCTGCAATAAACATGGGAGTACAGGTATCCCTTCGGCATGATGATTTCCATTCCTCTGGGTATATTCCACTGTTGGGAATATGCCCAGAGGAATGGAAATCATCATTTAAGTTTTAATCATCATTTAATTTCTAACATTTAATTTTTTTAGGTCATACAAGATATTTTGGCATCGGGTAAGCAGTATTAGGATGAAAATCTATTCAATGATGCTTAAAAAGAAAAGAATATAAAATCTAGTAATTGGGAAGTCCTACCAAAGTACGTTACATAGTCTCAGAAGGTTCTGTCCTTGTTCCTACAGGTTTACTGTGGCTTGCAGAAAACTTACATTTTTGTTCTGATGCAGAATTATTTAGTGTTGGATTTTTTCTTCCTTTTATAAGTTTTTATACATCACTAAAGTTAGTATTACTATGAGTAATTTCCAAGAGTGAGATCTTAAATATATTAGAACTTATATTCATTCTTACATGAGTAGTTTCTTCTAAGCCCTCTAAAACTGTTTTGTATAGAACTGCTTTAGAATAAACTGAAAGTGGTGATTATACACCTACACACATATATACATAAACTAGAATTTCAAACAAGCGTATTTGATATATATAATCATAAAAAATTTTGTTTTTAAATCTTCAGTAATAAAAAGTCCTATGGTCACTATAAATCATAAAACATGGTTTCAATTCAAGAACTGAAATATCCAGGCCTATGTAATAATCGGAATTTGGATTTCATTTAAAGTTCACGTTTCTCCTTCCCCCAGCTCTCTCCTCATCCAGTTCTGCTATTCCTCCTTTTCTCCTTCATTGACTAGATTTAGACCCTTCTAGGTTTGGAAGAGAGAAAATGGAAGGAGGAAGTCCTTACTTGAATGGCAGGAATTTGGCGTCTAGCTTCGGTGCTGTCAGAACTCGTTAGATATTTAAAATTAACTCTCTCCTATGCTCTTCTAAACTTTGAACTCCTCTTTCCCCTCATTGCTGGAGATGTGTCACCTGCAGTTCCTTTACATGGACAAATGTATCTCTATTCCAGTTTGAGTTTACTCCTCCTCAGCATTTAGGCTGCTGGAGATACCTCCCACTTCTTTCACCTCTGATCTGATTACTACTCCAGGTGGCCCTTGGACAGAACCTAAGGCAATAAAGCTTTTTTTTTTTTTTTCTCCTGGGTGGACTATATTTGGTCCATAGGAAACATTTATGCGTTATTCATCCCAAAGATCCTGATTGTTCAAACTGAACGTGGATGCCACCTCCTCCTCCCTGTACTGAACAGACACCAAGTCTCTTGCCCTTTAGATATTCCAGATGTGAATCAGGCTCCAGTCCACTGTGTTCTCTAATCTTCATGGGCCTTTTGAAGGTCATATTGTTCTCTTGTTTAAAGTCATCTCTCAGCTTGATATAGAGGGAGAAACAGCCACTTTTCACATATTGGGGTGGTGGTAACAGTATGAGAAATTATAGCACACCAATCTCCAAAGATAACTTCTTCAAATATCTTCTTTTTATCCCCAGTTTCTGGCACCTGTACACCCTTGATGAAAGGCAGCAGGTTCTGAATTTATCTCTTGAGTGAGCACCTTTTACTCAAAGTTTTATGGGCATATACTATGACCATGATTCAGTTTGGCAGAGGTAACAGCTAGCATTACAATCTACTGATGATCATGTTTGCACAGTCAGTCTGTGCCTATGGAAGGGTGTTTATGGAAGATGATGAAGCAGAGTTGGTTGGAAACAGTTCCTGGGGGAACTGCGTCTTTACTCCACTGTGCACACCCCTCTCTATTTCCCTCTATGTCAACACTTTTCCCCTTATAAACTGAAACGTATGTTTATTTAGCTAGACATACTCTCTTCTAAATGTGATTATTTCTTCAGAAAGTACTGCTGTTTTCAAGCAGTAGTTCCCAACCTCTGTGCCATGAACTATGTAGGATAAGGAGGGGTATGGCGGCAGCAGAAGATGATTCCAGGGAAAAATATTTACATATACAACAAACATTGTTTTTATGGACTTCATAAACTTCATAAGTTAATCTGTGCATACATGTATTACTGATTTTCAAGTATAGGATGATGTAGTTAGTTACAAGGAATTTAAAAACCTTATTTCATTTACGGCGCTCATTTGCCTTTGTGTATTTTCTTAACGAAGTAGCTATTCTCTCATGGAAATATGAAAAAAAAATTATAAAAATTGTCCTTATCTCTGAAAAGGTTAGGAAAGACTGGGTTAAAAAAAGTAACAAGAACAGGACACAGGGAATTTGGCACAAAGAGCTCTTTTTAAGAAAAATTAACTTCACCGATCCCATAATTTCTTCGTATTTTATGCAAAATATAGGGAGAAAATCTGTATTGACTGTTCTTTTTTCTTTCACCCTCAAATATTAGGAAATACTCTACTTTTGGGGGAGAATTTTATGAGAAGAAAATATTGTATATAGAAAGTTATAGACTTTGGAATAAGAAATCTTAGCTTAGAATCTCAGATTCTAGGCTTTTTAACTTATTTAACTCATCCCCAGACAGTTATAAGTTCAGAAAAGGTAGGTACTAGGACTACTTTATTCATCAGTGTATTTCCAGCACCTAAGTCTCTCCCAAAAAGAAAAAAAGAAAGCACACCAAATCTCTGGTTTTAGAATTCTAAGCTAAAGATTGCTAAAGGACAAAGTCTGCAGACATGGAAATTTTTGGAAATGATGGATATGCTTGTACCTTAATTGTGGTGATGGTATCCTGAGTGTATGCATAAATGTATACATTAAATATGTGAAATTTTCTGTTTGTCAATTATACCGCAATAAAGCTTTTTGAAAAAGAACAAAGTCTGTAGTAAATGTTAATAATTATAAGAAACTCTCTCTGCCAAGGAATTTTACCTCATTTTTTTCCTTCCCCCACTCCCAAAATTTTTGATTTTCCTAATGTGGAATCAATAAATCCACATGACTGGAAAGCCAGACATAATGAGTACTTACCATCAGAGACAAAATAGACAATGAGTCCAATGACTACTGCAGCAATCACCATCATTATGACACCCAGGGTAATCTTTCCACACTTCGTGAGTTTAATCTTTGTGTTTGACTCTGTTATTCTGAACAAAAGAATAGGAAAGCAAGTGTTAATATGAACTTGATATAGAACTCTCAGAAACAAATATAGATTTGATGTTAAGTACAAAAGTGTATTATTTTACATTAATTTTGGATTCATTACACTGATAAACTTGGAAAACAAAGTGTACAATTAGTGAATATAATATTCATCCTGTTTATTTTCCAGTGCATATAAATAATAATGGTAATACTAAATAAATATTCATTCTTTCTTCCAGCAACTATTTGTAGATGATCTATGTGCTAGGCATTTTTGTAGGAACAAAGATCTCTTCTCTTACGGAGCTTACATTTTACTGAGTGGAGGTACAAAATAAATCAAAACATAATAAATAAAATATACAACTGATAAAAGGGTATTAAGTGTTGTAGGAAAAAGGTAGAGCTAGGCAAAGATCAGAAATGGGAGTGTGTCTGTATGATGTGGTGGTGCTGGTGAGGTGGTGATGGTGGTGATGGCAGGAAGGTCAGGTTAGGCCTACTGAAAAGGTAAAATCTGAGTAGAGTTGGAACAGGTGAGAAGGTTATCCATACAGATACCTGAAATATTCCAGGCAGAAGGAACAACTCAACAGAGGCCCTGAGGTAAGGGTATGTTAGGTGGTACGGCTGGAGTAGTGAATGAGGGGGAAAGAGTAAGAAAGTCTGAGAGGTACCAAGGCCAGATCTTGTAGAGCTTTGTGAGTCATGGTAATAATTTTGTTTTTTCTGTGAGTGAAAGGGGAGCATTGGAGGACTTTGAGCAGAGGACTGTGATGAGCTGACGTAATGTCTTATAGAGATCCCTCTGACTGCTGCGAAGAGTAAATTGTAGAAGGCAAAGGTGGAAGCACAGTGACAAGATTGGACGTGAATATAATGATGCATGCACAAGATGATGTTGGCTTGGATCAGGGTAGTAAAGGTGGACGAAATGAAAACGGGTTGAAATTTGGATATATTTTTAGTATACAGTTGACAGGGTTTCCTGATGGACTGGTGAGGAATGTGAGTGGAAAAGAGAAGTCAAAGATGGTTTCTAGGTCTTTAGTTTGAGAACTCGAAAGACAGAGTTGTCATCAACTGAGATGGGAAGGCTGTTGATGGAGCAGGTTTTGGGGGGATGCTCATGAGTTCAGACTTTTTCGTTTTGTGTTTTGGATGTCCACTAGGCATTCAAGTGGAGATGGAGGCTTGATATACAATTTTGGAGTCTGGAATAGAAGTGTAGGCTGGCAATATAAATTCGGCATTCATCAACAAGTTGATTAGGCTCTGGGACTAGATAAATTACCAAAGGAGTAAGTAAAGATACAGAAGAAGGCAAGATATGATCAGTGGACTACTCCCTCATTAAGAGATTACGGAGAAAAGGAGGAGCCAGCAAAGGATACTGAGAGGAAGCAGTCTGTGAGGAAGGAGAAAAGCTGAGAGAAATCAGTGTCCTGGGAGCCAATAGAAATGTATCACGGATGAGGAGGAGGATCGACTGTGTCAGATGCCGCTGATAGCTCAAATAATGCAAGCCAATGAGCACTGAAAACTGACCACTAGATTAGTATTATAGAGATAATTGGTGATCTTGACGAAAGAAGTTTTAGGAGTGGAAAGGGCATGAAACTGGTTAGAGATGGTTTAAAAGAAAATGGAAGTAGAAGAACTAGAGATCCTTGACCATTTTTTCACAGTTTCCTGAAAAAATGAGCAAAGGAAGGAAATGGGATCAAGAGAAATTTTATTTTATTATGGAAAATTTTCAATATACATAAAGTAGAAAGAATAGTTTAATAAGCTGCCCTATTCCCATCATATAGTTTTAAGAATTATTGACATTTTCAATATTTACTTTATCTATTTTTCTGTAGTTACAGTAATTACATCATGATATTCACCCCTAAATAGTTTATTTTCCCCTAAAAAAGAGCATTTTGTATATAACCCTTTCATTTTCATACCAAATGAAATTATCAGTGATTCCTTAATATCCTCTAATAACAAGTTTACATTAAAATATCTCTACTTGTCTTCAAAAAGTCTTTTACAATTTTTTTCGTCTGAACAAAGGGAATATAAAAATCTCCACACTGCATTTGGTTGTTGTATTTCTTATGTCTCTTTTAATCTAGAACAGCTTCAAATAACTTCCATATTCCACCTTTTTTTTTTCCCTTCATGACATTGACCTGTTGATGATACTGGGCCAGTTGCCCTGTAATTGTTCTACTTAAGAAGTTTGCCTGTGTATTTTTCAAAAATTTTTAATCAAACATTTTATTTTGATACAATTATAGACTTACATGTAGCTAAAAGAAATAATACAGAGATTCCTCATACCCTTTATCCAGTTTTCCCCAATAGTAACAACTTGCAAAACTATGGTAAAATATCACAACCAGTATATTTACATAGATACAGCCAAGATACGAAACATTTCCATCACCGCAAGGGTCCCTCATATTGTCCTTTCATACCCACACCCATTTGTTTTCTGCTTTCTTGTCCTTCTTAACCCCTGTCGACCACTAACATGTTCTCCCTTTCTATAATTTTGTCATTTCAGGAATGTTATATGAGTGGAATCATACAATATTCAACTTTTGGGGATTTACTTTTTTTCACTCAGCAAAATTCTCTGGTGATTCATCCAGGCTGTTGCATGTATCAGTAGTTCTTTAAAAAGAAAAAAAAATTAAATTGCTGAGAACAAATTCATTGTATAGTTTGTTTAATCATCAACCCTTTTGAGGGACATGTGGGTTGTTTTCAGTTTTTGACTGTTAGGAATAAAACTGCTATAAACATTTGCATATAACATTTTGTGTGAACCTATGTCTTTGCAGCAGAGGTGCAATTGCTGGGTTCCATGGGTGTTGCATGTTTAGTTTTTAAGAAACTACTAAACTATTTTCCAGAATGGCTGTACCATTTTATATTCCCACTAGCAATGGATGAGTGATCCAATTCCTCAGTCTTCTTACCAGCATTTGTTGTTGTCACTTTTTTTTTTAACCATTCTGATAGGTATGTAGTGATCTTTCACTATTGTTTTAATTTGCATTTACTATTGATGTTGAACATCTTCATATGTGCTTATTTGAAATCTGTATATTATCCAAAAATGTCTGTTTATCTTTTGCATATTTTATAATTGTATTGCATGTTTTTTTACTGTTGAATTTTGAGAATTCTTTATATATTCTGGATACCAGTCCTTTGCGGGATTTGTGTTTTGCAAATATTTTTTCCAGTCTGTAGTTTGTCTTTTCCATCTTTTTAACAGACTCTTTCACAGAGCAAAAGTTTTTAATTTTGATGAAGTCCAATTTATCAATTTTTTCCACTTATGGATCATGTTTTTGGTGTTAAGTCTAAGAACTCTGCTTAGCCCTAGATTCCAAAGGTTTTCTCCTATATTTCTTATCCTAAGAGTTTTACAGACTTTTATTTCCTTCCTTAGTCTATTAGAGTTAATTTTTTGTGAGGTGTGAGACTTAGATTGAGGTTAATTTTGTTCCTCTGGGTATCCACTTGCTCTAGCACCATGTGCTAAAAAGACCATCTTGCCTTCATTGAATTGCTTTTGCACCTTGGTCAAAAATTATTTGAGAATATTTGTGTGGGTCTGTTTCTGTGTTTTTTCTTCTGTTCTGCTGAATCTGTGTGTCTTTCCCTCTGCTAATACCACACAATCTCAATTACTACAGCTATATATTGTCTTGAAATCAGATAGATTGATTGCTGCCACTTTACTTTCTTTGTCAAAATTGTTTTTAGCTATTTTAGTGCCTTAATTTTTCCACATAAACTTTAAAGTTATCTTGTCCATATCCATATAAAAATCTTGCTTGGATTTTGATAGGAATTACAGTAAAACTGTCCATTAATTTGGAGAGAATTGACATCTTACCACGTTGAGTTTCCCAATTTGTGAAAATGGTATGTCTCTTCATTTACTTAGATTATTAATTTCTTACATTGGTGTTGTGCAGTTTTCAGCATACAAGTCCTATATATGAATTATTAAGTTAACACTTAAGTATTTCCTTTTCTAAATTTTGAGTACTGTAAATGGTATTGTACAATGGGTCCTCAAAAAGATCATGGAAAGATTAATATTTTTTTCCAATTCCATTTTTCCTTGAACTTTTGAAGTACCCTTGTATTTTTTATTTTGGTGTTCATGGTTAGTACATAGAAATACAATTGATTTTTGCTGTTTATTTTATACTCTATGACCTGTTGAGTTCACTTTGTAGTTCTACAAGGTTTTTCAGGAGATTTCTTGGGATTTTCTACATAGGCAATCATGTCATCTGAAAATAAGCTCAATTTTATTACTTACTTTCCAATCTATTTGCTTTTTATTTCCTTTCTTTCCTTATTGCAGTGACAAGAAAATGTATCACTACGGTGAATAAGAGCAGTGAGAATGAACATTTTTTACCTGTGCCTAATTTTAGGGGGAAAGCATTCAGTCTTTCACCATTAATTATGTTATCTCTAAGTTTTTTGTAGATGTTTGTTTTCAAGTTGAGGAAGTTTTCCTCTATTCCTGTTTTCCTGAGATTTTTAAAAAAACATTAAATGGTGTTGAATTTTGTCAAATTTTGTCAAATGCTTTTTTTGCATCAAGTGATATAATTATGTTATTCAAATGATCACATGATCTATTTCATATTGGGTGAGTTGTGGTACTTTGTGGCTTTCAAGAAATACGTCCATTTTGTCTAAATTGTCAAATTTATGTGAGTAGAGTTGTTTGTAGTATTTCCTTATTATCCTTTTTATGTCTACAAATATACAATGATATCCCCTGTTTAATTGCACATATTGGTAATTTGTGTCTTTTTTTCTTTTTATCCTTGTTGTTCTTCCTAGAGGTTTGCCAGTTTTAGAGATTTTTTCCAAGAACCATTGTTTTGTTTCATTGATTTTTCTCTATTGTTTTTATATTTGCATTTCACTGACTTTTGCCATTATCTTTATTTCTATTCTTGTG